GCTATACCACCATTGTCCACCGTCCACTCTGCTGGAGGCTGGCACTCACAGCTTGGCTGTCTGGCCTGATGGAATCTTTGATCCAATCTCCCATCACTTTCAAGCTGCGCTTCTGTGCTCACCACCGCCTGGATGACTTTCTGTGTGAAGTTCCTGCCCTCCTACGTCTGGCCTCTGGGGATACCTCGGCCAACGAGTGGCAAATGACCATCTCTGCTGTGGCCTTCACCATGGTACCTGTGGGGTTGATTCTGACTTCTTATGGCCGCATAGCTCAAGCAGTGGGGAAAATGAAGTCTGAGGAGGGGAGGCAGAAATTCGTTGCCACCTGTTCCTCCCACCTGCTCGTGGTCTTCATGTTTTATGGGACGGTGGCCGTGGTGTACACAGACCCCAAGACCAGCTTTGCTTCCAAGCATGGCAAGTTCTTCACCTTCTTCTACGCTGTGGTCACCCCCATGCTGAACCCTGTCATCTACACGCTGAGGAACAAGGAGGTGAAGGATGCCTTCCGAAGGGTGCTGAGAAAGGGACTCTGCATAACTCAGGACCTTCTCACACAACCTTTGAAAAAGTCCTAATGAAGAGTGAGTTTAGCATAAACATGAAAATTTATGAGCTTGTTTTTGTGGTTTTACATGATATTCATTTTTGCAAAAGCTAAGAACAAATGTAGTAACAGATTTGGCAAATCATAACTAAAGCCTTTTTAGTCAGGGAATCATGTTTATTGCAAAGCTAACCTCAGGTGACTGCGATTTGTTCTTTCTTAAATAATGCAGCTCATTTAAGAAGCCATTAAGAAATAGAGGGCATAAAATAGTAGTTGAATATGAAGGCAAAATAAGGCACCACTTTGTGGTGTCTTTTATGTAAGTCTGAAGAGAGGAAGTATTTCCTACAGTGTCCATGGGTCCTTTTCTCATATCCAGCTCTTTCTGACCAGTTCACGAATACATGAGTGTGGGGAGCAAGTAGAAAATTTACCACTCACGGGAATGTGTAGCAGGTGGCTCCATGTGTAAATTAGAGCTCTAACTTCAATCCAAACTCCCTTTATTCTCAAAGTCAATATTTCTATGTTAAGAATTTAATCAATTCTGTTTTTTTCTATCTGCATAAAATTCATGTTAATGTGAAATAAGTATAAAAATTCCATGTAGTTCATGGTTTTGTTTTATTTCCTTTATTACAAAGTAAGAGAATCAAAATTGTGCTGGTTGTGCAAAAGAGATGCTGATATTGAAGGGTGCTCCTAGGAATCTAATGTGATAAATTGACTTAATTTTTGACAGCAGAAATTTCTTCTGGGGCCAGCACTGTGGCTCAACAGACTAATTATCCACCTGTAAGTGCCAGCATCCTGTATGGGTGCCAGTTCGTGTCCAACCTGCTCCACTTCTTATGCAGTTCCCTGTGTGTGGCCTGGAAGAGCAGCAGAGGATGGGTCAAAGTGTTGGGAGGAGCCCCCAAAGCTCCTGGCCCCTGACTTCGAACTGGAGAGTGAGCCACAGATGCAAGAGCAAAAGACATTTTGCTGAGGTTTACTGAATATGGGTGAATAATGAGATACTTTTCACATAGGAAAAATAAAGAGAAGGGACTAAGAAAAGCCTGTTTGCTGGAGAAGTAAGGGAGAGTTATAGTTTTGTGTGCTAACTTGAAGATGAACTAGAAATACTTTCTACAAGTGCTTGTATGAAAAAAAGGTGTTTTTGTAAAAGTTTAGAACAACAAAGACTCACAAGATAATGCTTTTTTTGTATATCCAAGTGTTGCACGTTCATTGCTTTTTGGAGGACGCATCAGAAAGACAGAAATATGAAGGGACTTCCAGACGCCCGCGGGAAATTACTTCCCAACTTTGATCCATCATGTGCAAGACACTATTGTAAATGATGAGTTTGATCTGAGGGTCCTGGGGGTGTTAGCTGGAGAGGAGTGGGTTCAAGACACTATTGTAAATGATGAGTTTGATCTGAGGGTCCTGGGGGTGTTAGCTGGAGAGGAGTGGGTGTGCTTCAGAGATTCTTAGACACCAGGTAGCACTAAGAAATCAGAAGGAGCCAGATTAGGTGGATCTGAAGACTGTCCATTGAGAATCACATAGGCATGATCTGATTGCATGCAGGAAATGAACGGGGCTGTTGTGATGGGGATGGCTCTAGCAAACACTTTCTGGAGGATGAATCCCCACTGAATCCTTGACACAGCTTCTCCAAGCTCTCCCATAAGCAGCAGACACGATTCTCCCGCCCCTCTGGAAACTCAGCCACATCTCCAACAAACTTGCTGTGACTTTGTTCTTGACCTGTCCTCTTTGGCTCCATCTGAGGCACTTGCTTTTTTTCAGCAGCTTTGGCTTTTGGTGTGCAGAGAGTGTGGGACTGAGACATAAGTCACGTTTCAGGATTGACAGGCCCCGTCATTGCCCAGAGCACTTGGCACACCGCAAAAACCCTTAGGAAATGAGAAGGGCTCAGCACCCTGTAGAGATGAAAGCTGGCCCCGCCCAAAGCTGCAGCAGTGTTGGGATTCTCAGTAGAATTGTGGAAAGAGAGAAGGTCGCTCAGTGATGTCCTTACAACCATGGGAAGTGTCACTTCCACACTATAAGCTGACACTGAGCAACACCAGGAGAGGAAGTGTGAGTGAACACAACACCAGGAAGGGGAGGAACTGACGCCGAGCGCAACACCAGGATGGAAGGAGTCATTTCCAACACTCACGGCTGGGGAGTTTCCTCCCATCCCATGACTTGCTTATAAGCCTTCACTGCAGTGAGGGGAAGTGTAAGTAGAGGGGGCCCGAGAAACAGAAGAGATGAACTGTTGATGAAGCCCCCCTTGGTGGCCCTGGCAGACGTCTGTGAATGTTGGGTGTCCTGCAGTAGTCACAGTTCTGAGAGGGTACTCATCAGAACACGCACTGTTATGATAGAGACGCAGATCTAACAAATGAAGTGTGTGCTTCAATGCGTTTGATAAAAATACAAAACAAAACAAAAAGGCAAAGTTGTGTCAAATAACATACAGCACTACTGGTGACTGCTCGGTACACACAGCTTCTTACTGGTGTGAATGTTGGCCACTGGTGTGAGAAAAGCTGGAGGGATACAGTTTCTCTGGGAATGAAGGGGGAGTTCTGTGCAATGGAGAAGGGTGGGGAAGATCTGAACATGCATGGCTGCAGGGGTCCTGGTGTTGGGGTGATGAGAGGAGACTGCCGTTAACCGCTCATGTCGATGTCTGGTCCCTGAGCCACGTGACAGATTCTTCTCCCTCCCAGATTCATCAACAAAGGCACAGCTGCCGTGTCATAGCTCCGTGTCTTGTTGCCCATGTCATAGGTCCTACATCTCGGCTCCTGTGTCATGGCTGCTATGTCCTGGCTCCCTTGTCACAGCTCTTGTGTCAGAGCTCCTGGGTTATGACTCCTGTGTCATGGCTTCTGTCAGACTTCCTCCTGGCCACAAGCAAGGAGACAAGGGAAATTTTATTGAAAGAGACATTAAAAGCTCTCCCGTAGCCCTCCTGGCCTGCCCCACAAAAGGAATGTTGCTCAGAACTGCCTGACTCAGACATGCATGGCTCTCTAAGGGAGTTGGTTCATGTGATTGGCACAAATGTCTGTTATTGAGGTGTTCTTTGTGAACAAAGCAGGGAGTCAGCAGAGCCTAAATATGATTGGTTGAGCCTCAGTTGTACGATCAGTTTGCAACATTGAACCAAGGGGATAACTTTGTTGTGTTAATCACTGCTGAAGTGGGGGGTACACACTGGGGAGCCTGGGATCATGTTCAGAGACGACAAGCACACGAGAAAGGAAAAGCAGCAGAAACACATGGTAAAAGGTGAAGGTTAGGCGGGTCTCCTACTCTGATGGGGATGTAGGTGATCAAACTCCACATAAATACAGACAGAACACGGCTGTGAATGAAGAACCTTTCAGTTCGGAATCACTTCTTCCATGGAAGCAGTACAGGCAGCTTTACTGAGCATCAGCTACCAACCAGGAGCAAGAAGACTCAGTGAAAAGCCCTCCGCATTTTCCTCCACGTGGTTTGTCACGTGGTACCATCATTTGTAATGAGAAATCCATTCTTTTTCAAACCCAAAGAAATTCACACAGGTACCTGGGCAGACGGGTGTTGAAAGAGCAAAGGGGAAGCCTGTGCTTACCCCCGAATCTCCTCTCCTCCCCCATGCTCTCCTTGGGGTTGCCTCCTCCTGAATCCACAGAAATCGGGGATTGGAAGCCTCTGGCTTTGAGCCCAGAATGTCACTTACAGGTTCATAGAATGAGGCATGGTGGTGCTCTCTGGTTGTGAGTAGCAGTGTCTACCCCTCTGAGGAGCTGCATGGCCCCTGGATGACCATGCCCTCATCACTGGTGCCATTCAGTCCACCAACCACTTCTTGTGGCCCAGCACTGCTCCCATCAGCACGAGACTGGAAAGCATGACCCCAGAGTTCTGTCACTGGGTGTTAATCCCACAACAATGAGCAAGAATGAATTTTATGGCTCATCTCCTTTGCTGCTTATACACTGGTATTCTGGTGCATCAATGCTATAAAAAAAAATTGGTGCAATTCTTGCACCCTATGTGGGATGGCTTTTACGGCTTTGGCCTGACCACGGGTAAGTTGGAAAGGAGACTAGTTCAGCATGAAAGGGTTCCCATGAACTCTAAGATTCATGTTCTTTCCCTAAACACAAAAACAGAGATAAGACTAATTCCTGAACATAAGAGTTTTTTCTTATTAGCGTTTTTCCCAAAGATCTCTCATAATAAGGGAAACATCCCCCACTTCCCTCTGGAGCAGGAATCCTGACACACTGACCTGCCTTAATCCTAACTGAAGTTACACTATGACAGGATGGGCTGCTAGCACACTGAAATGGACTGGGCCGTGAAGGCATATGGGGAGGGAACGAGCCCCCGGAGGCACACTGGGACGGAATGGCCCATCAAGGCAGTTCTTAGAGCCCTATCCTCCCTAGGTGTCTCCTGCTGCTACCCTCTGAGCAGATGGACAGCGTGTCAGCATCCGACTACATGCCCCGGCCACATCCTTGTTCCTGAGGCTGTAGATGAGGGGGTTGAGCATGGGGGTGAGGATGGTGTAGAAGGCGGACACCACCTTGTCCTGCTCAGGGGTGTGGAAGGCCTGGGGCAGCACGTAGTTGTAGAAGGCAGCTCCAAAGAAGATGCTGACCACCGCCAAGTGGGAGGAGCAGGTGGCGAGGGCCTTTTGGCGGCCCTCGGGGGAGCGCATGCGGTGGACGGTGACCAGGATGAGGGCGTAGGAGGTTGAGATGATGGAGAGGGGGGTGAGCAGCATCAGGATGCAGCAGATGTAAATGAGTGTTCTATACAGGGACGTGTCGGCACAGGCCAGCCTGAGGATGGCCAGGACCTCGCAGAAGAAGTGGTCAATGCTGTGGGAGCCACAGTAGGGGAGGCTCATAGTGATGGAGGTGAGCAGGAAGCCATCCAGGAAGCCGCCCAGCCAGGCCCCAGCAGCCAGCAGAAGGCACACCTTGTAGTTCATGAGAACTGGGTACCTGAGAGGGTTGTAGACTGCCACATAGCGGTCGTAGGCCATGAAGCCCAGCAGGAAGAACTCGGAGCCAATCATGGTCAGGTAGAGGAAGATCTGGATGCTGCAGGCCATGAAGGAAATGGTCTTCTCCCTGGAAAGCATGTCCACCAGGAGCTTGGGCACGGTGGTGCAGATGAAGAGGGTGTCCATGACGGACAGCTGACTGAGCAGGAAGTACATTGGGGTGTGGAGGCGGGCATCACTCTGGATCAGGATGACAATGAGCACATTCGCCGCCACAGCCACCATGAAGATGGCTACGATGACCGTGAACACCACTCCCACGGCCTCGTGGCTCACCAGCAAGCCCAGGAGCACGAAGTCGGATGGCGAAAAGGTTCTGTTCTGCATCGGTATGGCCTGTAGTGGCTCCCAGGAGACCTGAGGATCTGGAGGGAAACAAGGCCCAGCTCAGCTCCTGTGGGGAACCTGCAGCAGAACCGACACTTCAGGGTCTGACTGGAACGAGCTCTGCCCGGCTCAGCACCCAGGAGCACAGAACCTTCAGGAGAGACGACACTTCAGGGCGTGACTGGTACGAGTTCTGCCAGGCTCAGCACCTAGGAGCACAGAATGGACAGTAGGAGCTGTGGTACAACCTCTCCATCTGGGAGAACAGCCCCTTTGTTCATGCTGCTGCATACGCCACGTGACTGCTGGACAAGACTACTGTCGGCTATTCCGCTGTCATTCTCCTGTCCTGCTAGTTCTGCAGCTCTTGCAAACAGGAAGTCGCCCAGAGCTCGGTTGGGCTCAGGGAGAGGAATGAGGTGCAGGGGCAGGGGCTGGGTGTTTCTAGGGGTCTCTGCTTTCCTTGCTGACTGACCCTTACCCTGCCCGCATTGCTGTCACCCTAGTGGCTTTCTTCAGACAGTCTGTGCTCTCACTTCCTGGCATCTCTCACGGAAATCACCTTCCAGAATGTAACCCTTGGAAGCACTGCTAAACCGGTTCCCGGCATGGCTCCCCACTGCTGGGCTTGTGAAGCAGATGACAAATGGGGACAAAAACGAAATGCTGCCACACCACTCGGAGTTCTCGCAGGAACGGGATGTTCCCCACGTGGCCACCTGTTGGTGTTTGCCTGCTGAGCCTGGAGCTGGACTTAACTTCGAGTCATGGAGCGGGAGGTGAGGGCCACAGGGCACCATGCAGGAAGGGCCTGGGACCTTTAACTTACTCTAGGTGGAACCGAGCTGGAGTCCAGAGCAGCCGACCTGCAGTCATGTGCTGTCCAAGGCTCGGCCTTGGCGGCTTGACCACCTAAGTAGAACTTTGGAAGTCTGTGTGGACAAATGGTTTCTAATTGCTACAGTTAATAAAAACTCCAGGTGGCACACCTAGAGTAGAACTGTCTAAAAACTGTTGAGTCTGTTTTATAAAATCTGTCAGAGAAATTGATTTTAAAATATGCCATTGTCTTTTACTTAAGTCTGAAATGAAGCACAAGGGGATCTACCACATTCTCTATGAATGTTCTAGAAAACAAGTTAGCCACAGAATCCAAGACCAAACAGAAATTCTAATTATATCTCTAAGTTACTGAAGTTTGTGTATATGAACATACTTCAAGAAGTTCACGGAAAGTGGAACTGAGAGATCCGTTAAGGGCAGGTGTTTGGCTTAGCAGGTAAACTGCTGGTTGGGATGCTCACGGCCCGCAGTGGCGTGCCTACCTCCGGCCTCCTGCCCTGGAAGGCAGTGCTCTTGGCCAGAGTGGGAGAGTTCTTGTCGCCCACCTGGCAGAACTATGTTGAGCTTCTGACTCCAGGCTCCAGCCTTGTGCAGCCTTGGCTCTTGCGAGAGGTTGGAACATGAACTAACGCATAGGAACTCTCTCAGTTCTCTCACTGTTTCTCAAATAAATAAATGCATTTTAAAAGTCATTTTGTTTTGGTGTGGAAGCTCGGAAATCTAAGCCTATCAGGAGCCTGTAGAAGTTTGAGAAAACATATTATGGAAGCATTATACATGATTTTCAAAGTTTTCACACTGAAATAGGCTATCTTTTGCTTCTATTTTTTTTTTTTTTTACAAACCTTTTGAGTTCTCCTGCCACCTGTCTGAGCCAACTCTCCCTGGCTAATATACTTAGCACTTTGGCTATAGGTGACTGGGACATGAGCACAGCTGGTTGCTGGGGCAGGACTCACAGCCCCTCTGTGCACCTGTGCTTGCTATGGCAGCTGTCATTCAGTTATGTCTCTGTGTTATATAGAACAAGTACCTGTAGTGTCATGATTAACCTGGACACTACATCAAAGGAGGAAATAAAATAGCTCAATTCATCCTCTCCACAACAGACTGCAAGAGGAAGACAGGAGTAAGTGTGGTCCAACTCCTGGTTCTGAAGACAGGAGGGCTGGGAGCTCAGGGAGGAGGGTGAGTGGGGGATTCTATCCTCCACTTACAGGGCCGGGTGTGGTCCTCCCTGACTGGTCCTGGGCTTCTGACCTGCAGAGAAATCGAGTTACGAACTGAGTGTGTGGTCTCAGCAACCACAGTCACAGGAAACTGCCGATACCTAACAACACCCTCAGCTTCCAGAAGCAACGGGTACAGCCAAACAGGAAACTGCTGATACCCAACAACACCCTCAGTTTCCACATGCAACGGGGATGGCCAAAGGGAGGCAGAGCCCACTCCTAGTAAAGGAACCCTGAGGACAAAGGAGACAGAGCCCACTCAGTGACTCCCGCCCTCCAGGATGAGGGAGGCAGAGCCCACTCAGTGACTCCCGCCCCCAGGACATGCCTACCCCAACACAGGCTTTTAACACATGAGCAATCCTGGCACAGTAAGCTGGAAGATAACTAGGTAATCCTGGCAAAGCTGAATCTGTGAGCTTAATGATTGTGAGTTTTCAGCATACCTGTCTACAGAAACTTCTTAGGTACAGAGCCCTCAAAATGGGGAGTAACAGGCTATTTTAGTCTTAACAAGCATTTTTTACTTGAAGGGGAGAAAGACCAACAAAAGTGGGGATGCAGGGAAGCAGAGAGAGAACACGTGTGAGCTCACCTCTTGGTTTACTTCCCAAATGCTGAAGCAGGCAAACCTGGAACCTGTCACTTCCTCTGGGTCTCCCACATGGGCAGCAGGGACCCAGGTACCTGAGCCATCACCACTGCGCCCCAGGTGTGACCGCACAGGGAGCTGGGATCAGGAGCAGGGCAAGTGGCTGAACCCAGCCCTCTTCCCTTGGGCTGTGAGCATCCCAAGCCGTGTCTTAGCCACTGTGCCAAGTGCCCACTGGTTATGTTCATTTTAAATAACATTTTAACGCAGAGTTGAATTTATACATTAGTTCTGTCACCGGACTTCACATTCCCTTGCCGTGTTGAGTTGGGCTGTTGGGACAGCTGTGTCACCTTCTCTAGGCAGCTGTTTTCGTAAGAGTGGAACACTCTGCTGGGCACAGTGAGCCCTTAGGGTGGTGACCGAGGGGCCAGACACCTTCTCTGGGCAGCTGCTTTCGTAAGAATGGAGTGCTCTGCTGGGCACAGTGAGCCCTTCAGGGCAGTGGCCGAGGGGCCAGACATCGTCAGCAGGGGCTGCTCATGCTGGAGCCAGGTCAGACTCCTGCGTTAGTCGTCCGACTGTGCACTTCTGGCAAAGGAAAGGCACTCTCGGCTGCTCCCACTCTTAAGTGCTCCCTTTGCTAAGCCTGTCACTGGACACTTGGTGCCGCTGTCTCTGGCTTATAGGCTGTGTGAGGAGGTGGGTGAGAGGCTGACCCTGCTCGCCTGGGCATGGAACGTCACAGGCAGAGGCTTGTACCTAATGTCGATTCTCTGCTAGGGACAAGCCCACAGGCTTCCTCGGTGGGGCGGATGCTGACACCAAATCCCGTGTGCAGGGTGGAAGTGCCATGGTATAGAAGTGGGAATTCTGCACACTTACCCAACAGAAACCTCTGGTTGGCAGTGCAGAGGATGCAGGGATGACCAAGATGGTGGGAATGCAAATCACTCGTGTTTCTCTGAATCGGCACTGTGTCCACGGTGGTGTGTTGTCCTCCGACCCAGGAGACTGTAAAGTGGAAGTAGTCAGTGAGGGGACAGCTTACCGCCTGGGTGAGACTCGGTGCAAAGCAGAAGTTCAAGTGGCCATTGGTCAACGGCACGTTTGCTATATCCTGATCATGTGTGTTACATAAATAGTATATCCAACGATATCACTCTCTATTTTCAAAGTGAAGTCACTCCCCCCCACACACACTGTACACACTGGAGTACCATCCTTAAAAACCCAGACATAACACACTCACTGGTTTGCAAACCGCTCCCAGAACAAAACAAAACAACACGCAAACAAAAAACAAAAACAAAAAAGCAAGTTGTTGAGAAGCAGTCCTGCCAGAGGTCACCATAGCATGGTCCCCCGAATGAGGGAGGTCTCCACAGCAAGGGGCACGTGGCACATGTAAGAAGGAAACTTGGTAAAATCCAAGAGGCTTTAGGGGCTGACTGAAGAAAAAGCAATATTGGATAGCCAGGGTTGATGCCACACACGTCTGTTTATCACTTTGAAATGCTGAGTTCATCAGAGACACACAGCAGAAACGGAAACTGCGCTTCTCTGCGGCCTCCACATACCTGGGAGTGTGAGGAGAATGGGTGACTTACTCCATCTGACACACAGAGAGCTGTGGTCCTGCTCTGGCTTACTATTTTCCTATGGTTCAGCCTGCTGTTTAGCTGAGTGACCCATCAAGTAGTTGTCTGTGGCTGCGATGTTCTGTCTCCAGCATTTTCCCCAAACACCCAGCACTCAGCAGGATGTTCCTCTGTCCAAGGCAGTCACTCAGCTCAGCGGGGTGCACCATCCCTTCCGGGGATGCCAGTCTCCTTTTCCTTCTTTTCCTTTATGCCGAAGGATCAACTAACATGATAGGTTTCCCTGCTCAGTCCTTGTTTGAAATCTTCCTGGTATTTAATAAAGTGCTTAGTGGTGGATGCTATCTTTTCTATTATTCTAATTTCACGCTGAAACACTTCTTGCTTAACACACATAAAGCAATCAACCGTCTAGGAATTTCATATCGAAGTCCCTCACCTGCAGGAGGAGCGCAGCGGCCATCAGGTCCTGGGAAGGCCAGCTGAACTGACAGCCAGCAGAGGCCAGCCTGGCTTTTGTCTGAGTTACTCCTGGAGGATGTTATCAGGATTAACAAGCTGGCAGCCCACATCCTGCCGCTGGCTTCTGTCCATTGCAAACCGCCCACCAGTTAACGCCACCAGACCAGAAGTGAGCAGGGAGAGTTGGCTGACTTCCCTAAGGCAGCTTCTCCTCCCTCGGGGCCCATTTCTTCTCGTCCGTTTCACAGGAGTTTGGGAGGACCAGAATCA